ATAATTTTTTTGTACAGTATTATTTTCCAAAAGGGAGCATTACCTAGTTTAATAGTCCCTGAATTATTCAGATATTTTTGCATTCTGAAAGTAAGTTAGCAACTAATACTTAGTAACAAAAATGTTTCCCCCCCAACAGGCCTTTAACACTAGAAACTTCATTTGGTGTGATAAGAGAGAATCTTAATTTTCGAAGCTTTTCTTTTGGTTACTTAACAACATGATAATTAAACCAGTGGAAAATAAGTATATTTTAAGTCCTAGTTCAAATTCTCTGTTTTGTGTTTGTTTAAATGACAAAGTTGGACTGCCGGGGTCTATAAAATACTTAAGCTTGAGAATTTATGTTATTATAATTGGATTTAATTCTGTATTGAAAAGAATCCACTTAGTAAATATTTAGGATCGATGCTCATAATGATTCATTTCAGTCTACTTCAATGTTTGTTATAACATTACATATATGGGAATGTGATTCTACTGAAGTGTAGAATAATTATTCTCTAAGACATGGCTTAGGGCTAACAGGAAATTCAGAAGGGATTCATTTGAATATTCTAATAAGTAACTGAATCTATAATTGATAATCTAATAAGTTCTCACTAATTGCAAGAGTGTGAGTCGTTAATACTGTTTAATTTGTAAACTTACTTTCTAAATCTTACCTTTTTTAAGTAATTCCAAAAAAATCTCTCCTTTAGGCTGAATTTTAACAGAAGTGTTGTGAGAGCAAGGCTGTTCTAGTCATACCAGATATTGTTTTTATATTTTCAGAACTGAAATATTTTGTCCCCAAACACTTAGAGACTATTATCTTCTCCTTCTCCTCATCCCCCAGCTCATTAACACATAATTACCCACGGGGTTTTATTTCTGTGATGAAATTCATAACCTCTTTAAAATTTGGTAAGATTCAGTGACTTGTGGGGAATAGAGTTTTGCCCTGTTTTCTGGAATATTTGATTACACAATAGTGAAAAGCCTTTATCTTGCTTACGTGCTACTCTGCCTGGGCAATAATTGCCCCCCAGCCCCCCGATTATTTTGTCAGGAAGTAACTGACAGCAGTGCGGAGTGCTATTAAAACAATCTGACCTTCACCCTATACCCTTGAAAATGTGAACAAACAACTGGATTTTGTGTTTCTAAATGTCTACAGATACCCTGTCCCATCAGTCAGAAGGAAAACTTGTATTTATCATGCGAAGTTTTTAAAAAATAAATTAGGTAACTGTTTTCTCTACTGGTAATAAGTAAATATAGCTGATAGGAGTTGGTGTTCTTTGATAAAGCCATAATATTAGAAAGAAATGTTGGAAATAATTACCTTCTATTCAGGGAAACAGCATACAGTGATTTTATGGCTAACAGGCATCACACGTAAAGAGTAAGGTGTATATAGTTCACACTAAATATGGAATAAAGCTTAGTTTCATCTCAGGAGGTTTCATGCTGTGAAGCGTATGCTCCCTGTATATATCAGGTGTCTTTTTGCTCCTTTCCCCTATCCTTACTTTTTAAGAGAAAGATTTTTCTTAAATGTTATATACATGAAACTTCTGAAAATTGTCAGTTTTACATAGAAAAATTTGTGATTTCTGTGATCTGCAAAAGGGTCTTTCTCCTTCTGCCACTCACACGACTTAAAAAGAATTATTTTAGATGTCAGTGACAGAAACTTTCTCAATAGAGAGAAAATAATTCTCATGAATTCTTCCCCACACCTCTCTCTCCACCTGCCAACACCATCGCCGAAGTGACCGTGGCTGGTCATGAGATGATTGGATTTCACGTATTTCTAGGGTTTGCATGCCTGCTGTTGGTTTGAGGGCTCTTTTTAAATAGAATGGAATGGTATCTGTTATTTATTTTTAACTTAGTTAAAGCAGAGAAAGGCAAAGCTTTCAGTGAAAGGATTTGGTTGTTGGCTTCAGGGACTGACCAAATGCCACCATCATTGGGAAAAGAGGCATTTCACCATTCACTTTTCACGCATGGAAATATATTCAGAACGGAAGAGCAGTTTACCAACTCAGCAAGGGGGCTGAGCCCGAGCAAATCGCTGGACCTCCTAATTCTGTAATTACTTCCTGAGACGTTTCTGTCTCTGCAGATGTGCTTTTGGAGTTTTTGTTTTGTTTTTGTTTTTGTTAACACCAAGAGTATCTTTCTTAAAGTTGTGTGTGACTTTTCTGAGCCAGGAGAAAAGTTTTCTGCTGTTTTTGTAGCAGCAGCAGCAGCAGCTTGGGGATGAGGCACTGAACACCTAGGGCTCTCAGCCATGTCACCCCACTGCCCCCATCGGACAGCTGTACAGAGGAGCTTGGTGGGGCGAATACACTGTACAGACGGGCTTTATAGAATGCAGCTTTGTTCCCTATCAGCAAGACTGGTATTACTCCCTTCATCGAACAATATCTATTCTACCTTCTCACAACCTCACACAGGTGGGCAAGTCACCTGGGGGGTGAGATGAGCTCGGAGGGCAGGGACCCACTGTGCTGTGTGTGGCCCTGGTCCAACTGGAGCCTGGGGCTTTTCAGGGGATAGGTGGATGACAGGTTCATCCCATCTGCATGAAAAGGAACTAGATGTCTGTAAAGCGGATTTGCTTCCTTCTAAGGTGAAAGGAGGCAGTTTTTGCGGGTTTAAAAGTTAAGTGGGATGTTTGTGAACTTGACCTCACTGGGATGTTTTATAGCCCAGACGTCTTTAGTTCTGTGACATCAAGTGGGACCTGCAAGGGATGCTTTAATACAGCATGCATATTAAAGCATCGTGGAGTCCCAGCCGTAAGATGGAATATTATGGGGTGTCACCAAGTGAACTTTATACCTGGCACTTCACAGCCACCAGCAGGATGGAGTGAATAAGTCGTGGTCCCTTGCACCCAGGAGCTGACAGGCTTAAATGGGAAGGCAAACGTGAGCAAAAGAGTTACAGTACCGCAGCCTGTGTAGGGTGGCAAGGAAGAAGAGCGGCCAGTCTCCCCGGATGTGCAGTCAGAGCTGCAGAGAGAAACCTCAGGAAAGGTTTTAAGGAGGTGGCTAAGCCTTGAATTAAATCTTTTTTTTTTTTTTAATAAAGACAGAGTCTCACTTTATCGCCTTTGGTAGAGTGCTGTGGCATCACAGCTCACAGCAACCTCCAACTCCTGGGTTTAGGCAATTCTCTTGCCTCAGCCTCCCAAGTAGCTGGGACTATAGGCGCCCACCACAATACCTGGGTATTTTTTTGTTGTTGTTGTTGCAGTTTGGCCAGGGCCGGGTTTGAACCCACCACCCTCAGTATATGGGGCTGGCACCTACCCACTGAGCCACAGGCACTGCCCACTTGAATTAAATCTTAAAAGATGTGTAAATGGGCCCAGAGGACAGACGATATTTGCAGGTCAGGTAGGGAAAGAGCCTGAACACGTGTGGGGACTGCCCAGCAGCTCGGCACACACCCGGAGCTGCAGGAAGCTGTAACGTGGCTGGAGTGGAGTGTACACGGAAGGACCCTGGGGGAAATGGGCAGTCCTCATCGCAGAGGCTGGGCCTTGCTGCCCAGTCTGGGCTTTGCTCTGTACTGGCTGGGGATCCCCTGCAAGTGTTTAATTAAGCTGGTGACAACATAATGAAACGTGCACTCTGGCAGCTCTGTGAAGGATGGATCTGAGGAAGAGACGGATAGAAGGAAACCAGTCAGGAGGCCACTTTAGTGCCCCACGGAGAGGGGTCTGCAGGGAAGGGTGAGCTGGAGAGCAGGGCATAGCTCCCAGAGGCCTAAGGAGGAGTGGGACTTGGGGGATAACAAGGATATGGGAGACTGTAAATGTCAAGGCCTCCATGTTGCATGTGTCAAGAGGTGGTTCTAATCAAGGATTGATGGAGGATTTGCCTTTTAAAGCAAGGAAGACAAAAATTGCAGTTTTACAGTCTTGCTTGTAAAATGTGTGGAAAGCTGGTTAGCTGCAAGGTTTCTAGCCCTGAGGTTCCAAACGGCACATTAACCCTTTCCATTCCAATTTTTCTCCCACCCACATCCTGCCCAGCTCTAATTTATTTTGTCTGGGAAAAAGGGTGGTGGATTACTTGTTATTATACTACAGTGTTCAAAGAGGAAAACATAAATACAAACTCAGCTGATGATTTTATTATCTATTTTAGGTTATATAAAATAATTACCTTTTTTTTTTTTTTTTTTTTTTTGGAGACAGAGCCTCAAGCTATTCCCCTAGGTAGAGTGCCATGGCATCACAGCTCACAGCAACCTCCAACTGCTGAGCTCAAGCGAGTCTCCTGCCTCCGCCTCCCAAGTAACTGGGACTACAGGCGCCCGCCACAGCGCCTGACTATTTTTTTGGTTGTAGCCATCATTGTTGTTTGGCGGGCCCAGGCTGGGGATTCAAACCCGCCACCTTAGGTGTATGAGCCACAGGCGCTGAGCCAAAATGTTTTTTAAAATCTTTGTTTATAAACAAAATTGGACGAGCTCCAACATAGAAAGGGAACGGGTTAGTATTTGCATATTTTCACTGTGAAGTGTTAGAGTTTGTCAAGACAGATGCGTTGTCATCCTTCTATTTAGTGGCCCTGAGAATAGCCCAGCATTAACTCCGGCACTTGCACGCTTTGGTCTATTGGCTGAACTTTTCTGAGCCTCATTTTTCTGATCTGTAAATTAGGCTAGTAATATTTTCTTATGGGTTGTGAGAACTAAATAAAATCGAAGGACATGAACATGGCAGGCCAGAGGCTGGTAAAGCAGCTACCAAATGCTACAAACCATCGTCTTTCTTTTCTAAGTGTTTTTTCTGTCTCCTCTGAGGGTTTTTAAAGCTTCGAACTGTCTTTTTCTTTTTCGTGCTAAGCCTTAAAGCCAGGGGACCTGGAGACAAGTGTGAAAGTGTCCCTAGGTAGTTGTCAAAATATTTAAATTCCTTAAAGAGATTTCACGGGAGATGCTTGACTTCTGGAAGAAGACATTTATTGTTTCTCTCTCTGCTTTTGCTGCAGGATGTCAGCTGCAACGAGATCACCGCCCTGCCCCAGCAGATAGGTCAGCTGAAATCTCTACGGGAACTGAATGTCAGAAGGAATTACCTTAAAGTTTTACCACAAGGTAAAGACGAAAGAGAAAAAACAATGAAGAACAAGGGAGACTTTTATTATTTGGGGGATTTACTTTCTCAAAGGGGGTAGATCTTGTCATGTGTGTAGGCCTGCTACCAATAATTATGTTTTGAATTTAACCTCCAGATGACTGAAAAGTCATGTTCAAGTTGTAGTTTGAGTCCAGCAGCAAAATCATCCCCCTGTCTAATGCCATGGGGGTGTGCTAGTTTACTGGGGCTGCTATAACAGAGAACTACAGATGCAATGACTTCAGTAACAGAAATGTATTTTCTCACGCCTCTGAAGGCTGGGGAGATCAAGGTGTCAGGGTTGTTTCCTGTCTTCTTGTCTTGTAGATGACCATCTTTTCCTCCCCAAATCCTTATGCCGTCTTCCCTAATCTCTTCTTACAACACCAGTGGAGTGGGGTCTTCCCTAATCACTTCATTTTAATGTAATTACCCATTTAAAGATCCTGTCTCCAAAGACAGTCACATTCTGAGATATTGGAGGTTAGAGCTTTAACATATGAATTTGGGTGGGTGGGGGGCATAAGGCAGCCCATAACGTGGGACAGTGTGAATTGTTTCTGGTATGGATGTGGGGTGTTCTGGAACATGAAGCTGACAGTTTAGGAGACATTCTTGGTGTTGTCCTGGCTATCAGGATTTTTAGCCTTGGGGATCTGAGTGACCTGGTGGGAATCTTCCAGTGTCTCAAATCTGTTCATCAGGTAAGGATGCCATCCCTGTTGGAGTGACGCTTGACCCATGTCACCAGTGGTTTCTCCACAGCCTCAGCGTTGAGACCTGGCTTCCCTGCCACCTCACATGGGTGCCAGGTCCCTGAGACACCCAGGTCCTTCTATATGTCCCTTTCCAGGAGGTCAAGGCTTAAGGTAAAAGATAGATGTATTCTGAAATTTTTTACCATTAGGAATTTGAAAGGAGCGTTGCAGGGGATAGTGGATCTGAATTTCAGTTTGGGGGTTTGATCCTGGATCCGGAATGAATTGATGAGCCTCCGAACTCCGAATGCTTCTCTAAAACACACTCTGGGTTTCCAAGGTCACATTGATTTCACATGGTATAAGGAACTCCAGACATACCCAGTTTCAAACATATATTTAAAAATGTATCTTGAAGTAAAAGCCTGTCTTTGGAAACAGTCAGCACTTGGTTCCTCTGACATGACTGCAGCAGTTTGAGAGCTGCCTGGTCTTCACTATTCGGTCCCTGCATCCAGATCTTTGGCTTGAAATGCTTCATTATTCTACGCAGAAAAATGAAGAGAGAATGTAAAGGAGAGAATTTTATAAAATATGGTGTGCGTCAGAGGTGGAAGGTTCAAGTGTCCACCTACCATCTTTCACCTTTCTCATGCTAGTTGGCATTCTACAGAGCTGGAATTAGAAGTTATCGCAGTGTAAGAATTTTGTCCTCTATTCCTTGAGCTGACTTGGTATAGAAATATTGATTTTTTGTTTCATTCTTGCGCAATCCCATTTTTTGAATGTATTAAAACATTCCAAATGTATGAAACATTTTTTAAAGTGTTTTTCTTGTTTTAAGGACGTGCAAAAGGAAAACTTGGAACAGCACATTTATAGGCATATAGCCTTTTATTTCATTTCTATTTAAGCTCCCATGTTAATCATTGCAAAAACATCACGGATCATTGAACTCTCATTAATCATTGTACAGCTGCCTTAATAGTTTAGAAACGTGGAAAGTGTACCTGCAAAATCTAAGAATCTAAGTGGTGGTTTCTTCCACCACTCCTTATCTTCTTACCTTAAAAGCATTCCTTGCCCTAAAAAGATCAATTACAAATTGCTATACTTGCCATAATTAGGTTTTCTCAGTTTTGATATTTTAAAATACACTCTAAGCTAAAAGTTCACTGTAAAATCTTTTTTTAAAACAATTTCCTGAGGGCTGGGTGGGGTGGGTCACACCTATAATCCCAGTACTTTGGGAGGCGGAGGCAAGAGGATTGCTTGAGGCCAGCAGTTCAAGAAAGACCAGCCTGGGCAAGAGGGGACACCCTGCCTCTACACAAATTAGAAAAATTAGCCAGGCATAGTGGTGTGCACCTGTAGCCCAAGCAGGAGGCTGAAGCAAGAGGATCACTTGAGCCTAGGAGTTTGAGGTTGCACTGAGCTATGTTTGTGGCAATGCACTCCAGCCTGGGTGACAGAGTGAGGGCCTGTCTCTAAAATCATTATCACCATCATCATCATTTCCTGAATATTAAGTTTCTTTTTGCTTTACTTTGAAGAAGTCTATTTACAAAAGAGCATTGATGGTGCTTTCAGGCAGTAAATTTAAAGACTTCCCCTATTTACTTATGTGCTTTACCTTTGGGGGTAAGCCTCCTGGTATGTTTTTAATTTGAAGAAGGAAAACAAAAGTTTGTGGGCTAATTACCCATCCCAATTTTGTGGTGGTTTAATCCTACAACTGCAATGAGGAGACCATAGTTTGTTCTTTCTGAGACCAGTATGAAGAGAAAATTAAAATAGCCATTCACTGCCTCTCTTTGCAGTGGAGACGGAGAAGTGGGATTGGATCTTTTTTCTCTTGTGGTTTTCTTACTGTCTTTTTCTGCTTCATTTCTTTTGAGCTTTTGTGGGCAGGATTATCATTTTATTGTGAAACCCTCCAGTTCATGTTTTCCTAAATTACAATGGTGACTGTGTTCCAGACTGGAACTAAAAGGAAAGGAAAGAGTCATTATAAAACCATTCTGTATTTTACTTACCTGTGAGTTCCTGCCTGCTATCGCTTCCATGAACTTAGCCCTCTAGTCTTACTTAGGAGTCTTCATTTTTAAGTGGCAAGGAATTGCTGAAGATCCAGAGTCCAGTTAAATTCTGCTGCTGATTAGCCAACCTAACTTCAGTGAGTAAAGTCAATCTCAGGGGAGAGGGATTAGTATCCCTGTCCCTGGGGGCTGTAACACAGAGGTATTACAGGTAGCAGGGACTCCCCTAATGCTTAGCTGTTTTAGAAACAGTGAGGGGGAGGGGATCTCACTGTTTCTACCTTTCACTTTCATGATCCACTGTCCTCTGGGACTAGAGTGCCCCAAGGCAAATTGCTCATCCTGTCAGGAGGGAAGCAAGCTGGGTTTGAGCAATGAACAACTCAGGCCAATTTTAAAAATTTGTCTTTCTGTAAGAAGGACTATACGAAACAAGTGCAATCAGTGTAACATGGTTTCTTGTACCCTCAATGAATCTCCAGCAATAAAAAAAGAAAAAAATATATGCTGTCCCTCCCCCTTAAAAAAAAATTCGTCTTGGCTTCAGACCCTGGCCTCTGTATTCTTTTAAAAATATACTAACTGGGCTGGGTGTGGTGGCTCATGCCTGTAATCTTAGCAATCTGGGAGGCTGAGGCGGGTAGATTGCCTGAGCTCCCAGGTTCAAGAGCAGCCTGAGCCAGAGGGAGACTTTATCTGTAAAAATAGCCAGGTGTTGTGGTGGGTGCCTGCCCAGCTACCTGGGAGGCTGAGGCAAGAGAATCGTTTGAGCCCAAGAGTTGGAGGTTGCTGTGAGCTGTGATGTGACTATACTGTACAGAGGGCAACAAAGTGAGTGCTTTGTCTCAAAAACAAACACAAACACACAGACCAAAAAACCCCCCACTTCCTGAGTTTCTCTTACACAGCTCACTTATCATGAACCTGACCGGGACCTGCAGAGTTAGAGGCTCTTCTGCCTCCTTTCTAGAAAGAATTGCATTCCATTACTTCTTTCTTTAGGACAAAGTAATCCCCTAAGGAATGAAGGAAGGAAAGTCCCTGGCAACCCTGGAGTGCCTTGATTCTGAGAAGAGACGCTGGTTACTAGGAGACTCTTTCTTGGTGTAATTTGAAGTTGTGTAACTGAGTAAAGTGAAAACTCCAGGGCAGTGTAGAGGGAGAAGAGAAATAGTGGGTAATTCTCACTCCAGATCCCTGCCTTCATTTCCTCTTCTTTCTTTCCTTCCTCTTTCTTGCCCTTCTTCCCTTTGTAATTCCTTGAGTATTCCAAAACACCGGAATTCACCTGTTAACGGGCCCCACAACAAGAATTCGGAGGCCTCGTTCTGAAATGAACCCTCCGTAGCCTTGCACAGACATCTCAGTGGCTTGCTAGCCTCACCCTGATCTCCAGCGTGGCTCACGCTCTCTCTGCTGTATGGAATACATTTGACTTTATGTCTAGCAGCTGCCAATGTTGGTTTGAATGCTTGAAATTACTGAGTGTTTACTGTGCCATACTGGGTGGGGATTTTAAGCTAAATATAATGTTCTGTCTTGTTAGTGGAGCTACAGAAGACTTTGTAAAGCAGTACAATAAAGCCTCATCAAACCAGAATGACAGGGCCTATCGGAAAATTCTGAATTAGATAACATTTATTTTAAGGGCAGTTGAAAAAATTATGGACATATTTATAGTAACTAGTTCTGGGATAATCCCAGTTCACATACGTTGAATAGATAAGAATATTCTGTAATTAGCATGCCATTCATGTGCTAGCAAGTGCTACTGGGAAACAGTTGGAAGTTAAAACAGAAACATGTCCTGTGTGATGGTGGCTTATGTGATTCTTTTGCTGGAAAAAAAGGCTTCTTATACAACAGATATTATAAATGTCAAGTATTTCCAACTTTTATCAAAACTAACAACAGATTAAAATTGGGGGGGTCCCGTGAAAGATACTCCCCCCCTTTAGTAAGATATACACACATACCAGATATCCTGATGTACAACTTCTTTTGATCATTCTCAGTGATACTTTTCCTGATAAGCTGATAAGCACAAAACTAATTTGTGCATTTAGCTATTTTAATCTTGTTGCTGTCTAAGTTTTTTTTTTTTCTTTCTTTCTTTTTTTCTCTCATTTTAGAATTGGTAGACCTTCCGCTGGTAAAGTTTGACTTTTCCTGCAACAAAGTGCTGGTGATTCCGATTTGTTTTCGGGAGATGAAGCAGCTGCAAGTGCTCCTGCTGGAGAACAACCCCCTGCAGTCTCCTCCAGCACAGGTGAGGGGCCTGGCAGGAGAGCCACTGGCCCGGGACGTGCTGTCAGTAGCACCCAACTGGCTCTCCACAAGGCCAGTTTTTGGATTCTCTGCTGAATTAAGATGGTGTCAGACACGATCATAAGCAGTCACAGTCTTTCAGAGGATGCAGCCTCTGGTGACTCTGACTACAGTAAATTGTCTTCTGCCAAATCAAATCAGCATTTGGCCACTATTCTGATCATGTCAACCCCAGATTATGTGTCTGATTATTTCTCTCTCTCTCCTTTTTCTTTGTTTTGTAGAGACAGGGTCTTGTTCTATTGTCCAGGCTGGAGTGCAGTGGCACAGTCCTAGCTCTCTGCAGCCTCAAACTCTTGGGCTAAAGCGATTCTCCCACCTCCACCTTCTTGAACAGCTGGGACTACAGACCTGTCCCACCCTGCCCAGTTTGTTTGTTTGTTTGTTTATTTATTTATTTATTTATTGTAGCAATGGGGTCTCAGTATGTTGCCCAGGATGGTCTTGGGCTCCTAGGCTCAGATAATCTGCCTCAGCCTCCCAGAGCAGATGAGACCACAGGCATGTGCCACCATGCCTGGCTAATTTTCTTTCTTTCTTTTTTGTGTGTGTGGGGGATTTTTTTTTTTTTTTTTGAGACAGAGCCTCAAGCCGTCCCCCTGGGTAGAGTGCCATGGCATTACAGCTCACAGCAACCTCCAACTACTGGGCTCAAGCGAGTCTCCTGCCTCCACCTCCCAAGTAGCTGGGAC